ATTGTCAACTTTACCGTATCACGATAAATTCGTTCCTTGACTTCTGTACTATAGACAGTCTGAGTGGTGATCATCGGTTGTTCACCGGGTTGCATTGTTGTCACTATATGACTGGGAAAACATAGAAGTTTTTCTCGTCGATTGCTTAGCTGTAAATAGGGGAAAAAAAAATTAACATTAAATAAGAAACTAAATAAAATTGTATTTGCTTATATTTGTAGATAATAGTTGGTTAACAACAGAAACAGAGTTACTAATACTGCAAAAAGACAATTAAAGACAAGCCTAAAAACACATGTTTTGTAGTTTTTTTAAAAAGACATTTAAAAAAGCCTTCAGCTCCTTTATCGACTCAAAATTAATAGCAGTTATGAAAAAAAATTAACAGTTATCGTATTTGTAGCCTTTGAAGACGATTTTTTTACGAGTTGAATTTATTGTTAATTTTGTTGGTGTAGTTTAAGTTTCCTTTTTCTGCTTAAATAAAATTTATCGCTCAAAAAAATTTTATTTTTTTTGGTACATTTAGCAGCAACAACAAAAAAGATTTGTAAATTTCTAATTTCTACATCTTATCAACAAACCGACAGAATACCGTTCTCAAGTTTAGTAAGTTTTGAGTAAATTCATTCAGATTTTAACTAATTTTTAATCTCAGGAAAAAAATTACTTTATATTATATAATGGAAGAAGCACAATGAAAATGTCAAGTTTTTTCTTTTTTTTTTTCTGATCTGCAATGTCATCTTTTTTTATGAAATATGAAGTTAACAGATAATCTCAAAATTGCCATAAATGTATTGCTGAACAGAATCGTAGACACTGCAAAGGTTGGGAACCTACAAACCATATTTTGAATATCAGATAAATTGCTGTTATTCACAGCAGTTTCCAGTCAGGCATTTCAGATTAGTCTCTAATTCTTCTTCTACACTTATTTATTACTTATTACAAATATTTAATTAGCAGCAAAAAAAACAAAAACAAAAAAACACTGCTAAAACAAAAAAATCACTTTGTAAAAAACAAAAAGAGAAATAAAGGTTTTATTATTTTTCCCCCGATTACCAATAATCTGTCTGAGCATAGCATTAAATTTTCTTTGTTTTTTTTCCTACTTCAAAACAAACTTATTAAACGTCAGTAAAGTGAATTCAAAGAAATATATTGAATTTATTGAAAGCTTTGCAAAAGATAGAAATAAAGAATATACAAATTAAAAAAATTTGTCATTATAAGATTTTTATGTTAAATCAAACTGATATACAACATTGAACACACTAATAACCTATAGAAATTTTACAACAAAAAAAAAAATTCTATTTTTTTCATTAATCTGTGTGCAATTTAGTATTCTTTCAATTAATCAACTCAAACAAATTATTTTAAACAGTTTTAAATAAACATATCTGATTTGTGACTGCATTCAAGAGTGAAAAACGTCATTCTGTATCATAACCTTTTTAAATGAATTTCATAAATCTGCAACTTTTTTGATTGATCTTTGAGACAAGTCTTTAGAAATCCCCACTAATTTCCCAGTTTTAAGTACTTCAATTGTTAAACTTTTTCAAATGCATAAAAATGCTCAGATTAGTAGTCAAAGTATTTGCTAAAGTTGAGAAACTAGACAACCCATGCTAACTTATACTTTGTTTAACCACTTATAGTTTAACCACTGCTAACCAATGTTAAGCCTAATTCTAAAGCAGAGAAAAAAAAGAATAGGATGGAGCTGTTCAAATTTTGCCAACAAAAAAATATCATACGCTTTTTTTCCTAATTTCGTGTGCGGAAATTTACAGTTCAAAGAGGCAACTGTTAGGGCTGAAAAAGAATTCAATTTGTTCTTTTCTTTTGGGATTTTGACAAAAAACAACCCAAATTTCCAAATACCAAAGCTTTATCACTAAGAGTAGCAGAATCAACAACAACAACAACGACAACAACAACAATGGCTATTTTGGCTAACAAACTGAGGATGAATAAAATGTTTTTGTTCTTTTTTTTTGAGCGGGGGGGGTGGGAAGAAGGAAAAAATGAGTTTGTTCACTTACATTGTACCCATGAAGCCACAGTGGATCACCGTTATCAACAACATCGATGACATCGCCAAAACGTAACGCTACATCATCCTTATAATATTCATGAACAACAATATACTGAACATGATTGACTGCAATTGTTAATCAGTTATAAAATTCAGTTGCTGCTATTAGTGCTATTTTACATCATTGAAAGAATGACAAAATTTTTTTTGCAACATTATTATCAAAGCGGATACTTTCAATTATTTTAATTCAACATAGTTAGAAAAAAAAAAAGAAGCGTTTTACATAAAAAATACAATTTATCTTTGGTATTTCTGAGCAGTGTTACTGGAATATAGCTATATCTACAGTAAGTTTTAGCGTTTGAAAAAGAGGCAAAAATTATCATTTTTATTCAGAGAATTTTGCCAACAAAGGAAGTAAGCTAAATTATAAGTTTTTTTTATAGTGTAAAAAAAAAGATGTAGAATAAAAGAATTTTTTTTTTTTTATTTTAATTAGACGATCCCAAACAACAGTAATCCAGAGATCCGGTAACATAATTTGCAGAGATTGATACCGTTTGGTGAACAGACACGATGTGGAGTGGATCGTGATGGTGGACCGGATGGTGAACGACTTCGATTCCAATCTGATAGGTCCCCTGAACTGTTAAGTCGTGAAACGCTATTTCCACTCAGTCTATTTTCTGCAGTTGAATTGAGTTTGATTAGAAAATTTCTTGTACTTGATTTTGTGATGTCTACAAACCTTCCCGTTTTCATCTTTCAGTTTTTTCTTCTTCCTTTTCTTAAAATTTTTTTTTTTTGACATTGCATAAAACAACTATTTTTCCTTTATTTTAAACAGATAATTGTCTTTTAACTTCAGTTTTAATTTTTTTTTTAGTGTACTTATTTTGTCGTTTATTTCATTTTATCATTGTCTAATATGCTATTAACAGTTGCAGAGTTTGAAGTTTTTGCTATCAATACGTATAGTACATATTGTTATGCAGATTAGTATTCGTAGTTTTTTTAAGAACTAATCTAAGAACTATTCAACAAAAAATTAGTTTTTTTTTTCTTATACATGAAACACTGAAAGGTTTTTTAGGGGATTTGTGAAGAGTAAAATATAAATATATTTTCTGGCAGATCATACGCGTTGTTTTCTTAGAATGCTAAAATAGCCAAATTGAAATAGCAAACTAATTTTGTAGCAAGACAAAGGTGCAAAGATTTTTCTTAATAAGCAGAAAATAATAAACAAAAAAAAAAGGGTTTTTTTGTTTAGCTATTCTTCAATGATATCATTTACTGATATTGAAAAAATTTTTCATGCTTTTTTGTTTTGTTGCTATCAAGCATCATTAAGACATTTTTGCCACTTTTTCTAGCTCTGATTTTAAGACCTTAGCTACTACTGAAAAAAAATAACGGCAAGAAAAAAAAAAACAGAAAGTCATCAGCAGTAAAATTTTTTTTATTGGTGACTTGTACCAGCCTATGACATACTGACCACATTTGTGCCCCATTACTTAAAAGGGGAGAAAAAAAAAAGACTATTAACTATAATAACTGCTTAAAAACAAGAAAAATAGTCTTAAGATTTGGCAAAGTTTTTTTTTTTATTATAGATTAAAATAAGGATATTAAGCGGTAAGTTAAAGTCCTACTGGAACGCATAGTGGTAGTATTTGGTTCCGCGCAATCAAGTGACAAAGATTTCATCTGTTTCTGCAATTTTGGTGGACGTTTTCTTCCATTTTGGCTGAAGCCTAAAACAAAAAACTTTTTATTATTTATTCAAACAATTATTTAGCAGAAAAAAAACATACAAAAAAGATAGATAATTAGAAAAAAAAACAGTATCTTACCGATGACGACTATAATTTATTAAGTTTTTTACATATCTTCTTTTAGTTTTCTTTTTTTTTCTGTTTATTAATCTCTTAAACATTTTAGTTAAATCTTCTATAAAACTTGGATTTATTTTGTATGTTACTTACAAACACGTGTTATAGAATTCCTGGTGTCTGCTGTTAGTCTGATATTAACCATCATAAATTAACAAGTATGAGAGATAATCTCTAGTGTTTTTTTTTTTTTGTTGCTATAAAAAATTTTATAGCTGGTTAATAAATCAGTAAAATTCTTGGAAATTCAGTAACATTCTTGGAAACTACTAATAAGAATTGTTGAAGTGAAAAATTGGCTAATACAGATCAGTAACAGCAAAAAAAACAACTGCAACCAATACTTTTTTATGAGCACTAAGGAGTAAAATATTGAAGTTCTGTTAATGCTTATAGATTGATTACCAGTCTGAGGTAGAAGCGGTGTTGATCGAACCATTGAACCGGTGCTATAGCTGGCTTCTGAAAATCCAGAATCTTGCAGTGAACCCTGCGAAAGATTTCTTGGCGATGGTGTAGAATCTTCGCCAAATGCCGATGAACTTCTTCTGGCGTGAATACCAGTGGCTTTTTTCAATGCCAAATAAACTGGATCCACCACTGATGGTTCTGCAAGAAGAAGTGCAAAATAAATAAATAAATAATAAACAGCTTTTTGCTTTTTTCTCGATTACTATCATTAGATAATGCTTCATCTTTTTCTAATTTTTTTTT